GGGTGAGCTTGAGGAAAGAGAAGGTGAAAAGTCTCAGAAGTTGAAAAGAAGGAAAGAGCATAAAATCGAGAAATTGAGTTACTGCAAAAAAGCTTTAATGATTTTACCAGCAGAAAGCAGCGAGTTTAACAATAATTAAATATAATTCTGAACAACAGTACATTTTACTTGTTTACTTGCTTTCAAAACAGCTATTACTATAAATATTTTATGTGGCAAAGCAAAAAAAACAACAACTCATTTCGGAGGCAGGCTGTTCGACTCTCCTTTCGGGGCTAATGCTAGCTGATAGGGATACAATGCTCTAACAAGCAGATGGAGATACTTGATAGATTAACTTTCCAAAAAGGAAAATAGAACTCACGTCTTCTGCATGTGGCAGCCAGTGACTAACCGCTTCACCATCGACGCCGTTCCCTCGGAGTGTGACAACAGTACAAGGGAATTAAGCCAATACGATGTAATATTAATTCTCCATTCAATCATTTATTGATAATTTATTCATTAATTTTTAAAATGTATTTGTTATTTCATTAATTCATCTATTTGTTTTGTATTATAAACCGTTTATGGGAATGCAGCATAGTCACCATCTGAAACAACCTGTTGCCTGGTGAATACGCGGTACCAAAGAGTAGGGCAGACAACAATACCCGCACTTACTTTCACTATGAAAATCTTATCAGCAAATAACTAAGCTACGAGTTTTGAATATACGAACAGCTTATTGAACAACGTAAATAAATTGGTTTCATAAAACGAGACCTTTCGCGATCTCATTGTGTCATTTATGTTCGGAACCCCCCCCCCTAAAAAAATAAATGAAATTGAAATCACTATAATTATGAATATCAATTCAGCATAAGGAACCAGCAAAACCCTTCCTCCCTTTCACGAAAACAAAGAAACAAACAAAAAACACGCACCACACCCATAAACCCAAACCCCTTCATAATAATGAAGTATATGATAAACAAAACCGTAATTCATAACGTGAAACAGATGTACCCGTTATAGTTTCCTTCATACAGTAAATTGATACCGGCGTACCAAAACAAACTAGTGCAACACCAGAGCTTGTGTCAGTTCAGACAAACGATTGTTATAGTTTGAACGGTGTCAGATACCGACAGTTGTGGCTATTGTGTTTTTAATAGCAGAGTAAACGTTGACGATATCATAGCGACAGTCGGTATTGGAAAGCTTATGTTTAAGTACGAGTTTTACGGCGCTTGGAACACAATTAGGTAATATAAGTGCCAGATATTTGAGTTGTTAGTATAGAGAAGTAAAAAAAGAAAGGTAAACCATCTAAAAGTGTTTTTTTAAAAAGCCAATGCATGTCTTAGACAGGACAACAAGCTTTCGAGGGATGTAATACCCAGTGCACACGATCAATGGAATTCAGTTGAATTGAGTCAAGGCTACCAGATTTTCCTCCAAGCAGGGACAAATACTTGTGTTTTTAACACAACACGACCCATTCAACTCCTGACCTTGCAAAACAAACACGTTTGATTTTGAAGGTCACGATCGAATTTAGTCGAATTCAGTCAAGTTGAGCCAAAATGGTAGTTTTTGCCCCATCCAGGATGTAAAATCTTTCTGGCACCGACTCAGTTGGGCTGGATTCGATTGGCAGTGTGCCCCAGGTATAAAGACTGATAATGACGACCAGGCCGTTACATGATAGGTCTCAGGAGAATATTGACGTGGGTGCCGAACTAGGCAGGAGGCGATTGGGAGACAAGGAATCGGGTTCTCCAGCCTGTCTGTCTGCCGCCAGATTGTCCTGATAACAATGATGTTGTTTTCGAAACTGACGCAAAAAGGTACTCAGGTGAACATACGACCCAGTATATATGTGCACACACGCGGGCAAACATAACACATAGACACACACGCACATACATTCATATACAGAAATGCATAATATGCGAACAGACACATACAAACAGAATCACATAGGGACGTACATATTATACACAGTGGCGACCAGCAACGGCCTGTTTGTGAAATTGTACTGCATTGGTGTTGTATTGGTTAGTTATGTATGTATTTGTGTCTTTATCTATGTATGTATGTAGGTATTTATACAGCTATGTATTTTTGTTGTGTATGTTTGCCATTGTAACCCACATTTGCCCCTACGAAGATCAATTAAAATGTAATTTATTCATACGCAGATTGGGCTATCAACAAACAAGACCCTTGGTATCGATCGTAATTCAAGAGTACACACAAACATATACGCATATACACACTGTCTCTTTTATAAAGAGACACAGGCGTAGAAGCACTTTTGTACATGTACATGCTTTTCCTTTGAATTGAAAATGAATGTTAATGTGCCTTACCAAAAGAACAGTTACAAGCGTAATAATAAAAAAGTATGAATAGGACGAAAATAAATTTACAAACCTTCTCCAGCACCAATGCGTTCGATGCAGCTATATCTTCGTGACCACACACACACTCACACACACACACACACACACACACACACACACACACACACACACAACAAACACTTACACACACAAGCATACACACAAAGACATAGATGCAAACGCACACGTACACATACACATACACAAACAAACACGCATATACACACAAACATACAGCACACACATACACACAAACACAGACACACACAGACGTACAGAACACACACATACACACACAGACACAAGCACACACGTACACACACACACACACACACACACACAATACACACAAACACACACACAGACTCCCCATCCCCCCCACACACACACATGCACATCTCCGTTTACCTTTTGGAAAAGGAGAACCTCCCCCCTCCATCAGCCAAATCCTTAACGTGGGGACGGTCATGAATCAAGTTGACCCCCTGGAGGCTCTTGTTGAGCGGGTTATCGCGAGGGAAGGTGGCTAGCTCATCAAACGAGCCGAACATCTCCTCATTCTGGAAGTCATCCTCATCGCTGCCCTCCGCGGGCAGGGGCTCGTGTTGTTCTTCTTCCATACAGCAGCTTATCCAGTGTCTAATAGCGGGCAGCAGGCACGACATAGAAGACGCGGAGCAGAGAACACATGAAAACAGTGAGCACACTGTGGTTCTCACCAGCTGTTTGGATTATAGCAACAATGCCCTCGATGGATTCTGATACGAATCGTCATCAATCGAGGGGCGTTTTCAATGAGTAAATCCAGAGAAAGCGTTGTATTTGTTTTTTTCTTTCTTTCTTGTTTTGTTTTGGGTGTCACCGCAATAGGCACTTAAGGTAATCCTTTTGCTAGTAGTGTTTCAGGTAATCCGACTTTAGGAAGTGCAACTTGTACTGCTAATCCTTTCGACAGTTTTGTTGAAGAAGTTTTGGAACGCTCTACGGGACTCGAAATGCTTTGTATTTTCTGATGTGTACCACAAACAAAAAATATAAGTAAAAACTCCCTCTCTATACACCACCATTTTTCTTTTAACGAATTTTGGAAAATCTATTTGCTTAACGCAAAGGCCGACGTGGAGCTATTATTTACCACAGAGCAAACAACGTTCATAACAGTTTCCAGAAAAGATCTAAACAAGCACCTCCTATACCGCTTCTAACATTAGCATTGGCATTACCAGTATATCCCATACTGAAAATGAGCTAAGGGTAAAACGGAATAAGTGAAACATCAACATTGAGGTGGTATTGACTGTAAATCCATGATAGAATGAGAAGATCCAGCGAAAGATCAAGAAGTGAATAGGTCAAGAAAAGAGCACCACTTTCACCGCCCTATGACGGCGCTACACCAGAATACACAAACAACACACTGCAATAGGCCAGGCGATAAACAAATAAACAAGAAGATAGCGGTGACCACAACATTTCGTCTGGGGCACGAGCGTGTATCCCGAAATGTGACCCCCACCACCACCATCACAAAAAACTGGGAGTTGGGCCAGACTTATTGATCGCTGCCCCCTTATTGCCGAAGCAGTGTAGACGTCGCCCCCCAAACTTCTCACGAACCCCCGTGCCAGACACGACGGCTTCCCGGCCAGAGAAGACCCTCTAGTTGACGTATCAGGCGAATTTGCATCTGCTATACATGTAATTCTGAGCTTTGACATATCTCCTACCAGAAAAGCCATTATTGATCGTCATTATTTTTAGCTGAGCTCTTTTATGTTTGTTTTTTTTCCCGATTTAAATGAAGGAGGATGCACTGGCTCCTAGTTTGAGCGCTTTTACTTGACCATAACCTTAACCTTAAGCTATTGATTTAGGATTCATCGAGACGTACAAAGCAAACTATTTAATTGAGTTTGCTTAAATGTGGTTGTAAAACTCAAATTGGTAATGGAAACATATTTTATAGTGGAACCCTCAAGATTAGATCCGTACAACAGGGATGCCTAAGTATGTGCTTAAAGGACAAAAAGAGGAGGGGGAGAGGAAGAAAACGTATTTCAAATAATTTTGTAAGGGGTAAACGATCCCATATATGCATACTCAATTTTCCAAGAAACAAAGCCCACAGCAGCTATGTTGAGACATGAACTAGAGGTCTAATTGAGCAGCATTTACACCACATTTAAATTTGATTGTTAACTGCTGTTTTTAATGCCACAAGTAATCCCTTTTCCTATGACACCTGCTGAGTGTTTTTCCTGAGTTTTTAGACCATAGTACCCAATGCACTGGTTTGACTTTGCTTATGAAAAAGCTTAATTGGCTCCAAGAGTTATAGCGGACCAATTGGCTCTATGGAGACTCGTAAGCTAAAAGCCATAAAAAAGTAAGAAAAGGAGCGTTGGCGAGTGGTAGGGGGATTTATTGTGATAATCTCGATTAGAATAAACAACTGTGCTCAGTCCTCTGAGATAGCACACCCAATTCCATGGGTGGAAGGGGAGAGGGGAGGGGGGGGGGCGGAAGAAAAAGTAGTGACCCGGAAGAGCATCGTCTAGTCCAGCCATGTCATTTTTAAGTGTCCTTTTTGCCCGCAATAATTACAAGATATTTCCTTTTCCCAAGGCGCCTGACCTGTGTTTTGTTTTCTATTGAATCATTTTTATGTCACGTACCGGGTTCAACTTCTAACCCCGTTTTTATTTTTGTTTTTGTTCATCGTTTCCGCATCTTGACTGACAAGGAAAGAAGGGCCCTGGCTCATTATAAGCGCTCGCCAAAAACAAAATTCCTTAAATGAGTGCATTATCCCCCTTGTTGTGGCCATTTTTTGTTACTGAAATAATGCGTGCGCAATGTAATAAGAATGCTTTTGAAAAGAAGAGTTTAAAATGTGAAACAATAAAATTATTCTACAGAGGGATGTTCAATAAATGTAATGTATCGAGGGAAACGAAATTATTCTATAAAATGTCTGCAGGAAGAATGTTATTATGATAGGCATTTGGTTCACTGGTTATAATATTAGCGAGGTGTTGATTTATTATTATTTCTTTTCAACATGTTCTGACGGTGAAAGTTGACAACATTGCAGCTCTACTTTTCTCTACAGCTCTACTTGTGGGGAGAAGTTTTAACAGTAGCTTCTTTTACTTGTTAAGGTATGACCAATCCCTGGTCTTAATTAGTGAAATATTCAGATGTTGTGCCATTAAACAAGAATGTTCAAGTGATAATTACTACCCTATCACCCAAATAATAACAAAATTGTTTCTGAAAATCTAAAAGAAAATAGAATAAAACAAACAACCACGAGTATCCAAACATTTTAAAAAAAGGATATAGCCTACTACTAAACGAGAGAGAAAGAGAGAGAGAGAAAAATAATCTTTCACCAACTCTTTAGACTTCAAACTGTTTTCCAGGCCCACATCTGTGAGAATGAAATCAGAGAGAGGATGGCCCAGAGAAGAAAAGAAAGTCGTTCACAAGGGCTTAATTACGCTAGTGGCAACATTATCTCGAAAGCGCTCGTCATCATACTGTGCCGGGGGAAGAGGAGGTGGGATAGGTTTTGTGGGAAGGGGGGAAAGGTGGGACTCCATGGGGGAATTTGAGGATTTCTTTCGTTTTCAGTTTATGTATATAGCGCTTTGAAATAAAATGCAGGGAAGGGCATGATGGTGCATGTCAGGCACACAGATAGATAGATAGATAGATAGATAGATAGATAGATAGATAGATAGATAGATAGATAGCATAATAAACCCTTGGACAAAACACAACCGAAGAAATCTATTATAAAAGTAACAGAACCACATTACTATTTCAAGTGAGAGAAAAACCACAAACATATCGAGATTCACAGCTACGAGAAAAACAACAACAAACAAACAAACCAAACCCGTAACGTCTCGTAATAATAATCATCTATGATACACTAATGGTCTTTATTGATTTTAAACATTATACGTCTGTGATTTATTTTCCTCTAATTGTTAAGGGAAAAAAGAAGAGCCTCAGGTGGGAAACTCAACCTGTCCCACAGGGTCAACTACTTATCAGGTATCTTGATACTTTTACGAGAGGTCAGGAAAACTATCAGATTTCCCATTAACTCGCCGTTGTTTTTTGCTTAATCAAAATAGACATGGCTTTTGTTTCCTCAGGATTCTCCTGACAGTTCGGAAGGTAAAGGTAACCATTTGATTTAGTTTTATATTATGTTTTATCACTGTGTGTAACGGATGGCCGACGGGGGGGCAGCCATGTCATTTTTAAGTGTCCTTTTTGCCCGCAATAATTACAAGATATTTCCTTTTCCCAAGGCGCCTGACCTGTGTTTTGTTTTCTAGTGAATCATTTTTATGTCACGTACCGGGTTCAACTTCTAACCCCGTTTTTATTTTTGTTTTTGTTCATCGTTTCCGCATCTTGACTGACAAGGAAAGAAGGGCCCTGGCTCATTATAAGCGCTCGCCAAAAACAAAATTCCTTAAATGAGTGCATTATCCCCCTTGTTGTAGCCATTTTTTGTTACTGAAATAATGCGTGCCGCAATGTAATAAGAATGCTTTTGAAAAGAAGAGTTTAAAATGTGAAACAATAAAATTATTCTACAGAGGGATGTTCAATAAATGTAATGTATCGAGGGAAACGAAATTATTCTATAAAATGTCTGCAGGAAGAATGTTATTATGATAGGCATTTGGTTCACTGGTTATAATATTAGCGAGGTGTTGCTTTATTATTATTTCTTTTCACCATGTTCTGACGGTGAAAGTTGACAACATTGCAGCTCTGCTCTTCTCTACAGCTCTACTTGTGGGGAGAAGTTTTAACAGTAGCTTCTTTTACTTGTTAAGGTATGACCAATCCCTGGTCTTAATTAGTGAAATATTCAGATGTTGTGCCATTAAACAAGAATGTTCAAGTGATAATTACTACCCTATCACCCAAATAATAACAAAATTGCTTCTGAAAATCTAAAAGAAAATAGAATAAAACAAACAACCACAAGTATCCAAACATTTTTAAAAAAGGATATAGCCTACTACTAAACGAGAGAGAAAGAGAGAGAGAGAAAAATAATCTTTCACCAACTCTTTAGACTTCAAACTGTTTTCCAGGCCCACATCTGTGAGAATGAAATCAGAGAGAGGATGGCCCAGAGAAGAAAAGAAAGTCGTTCACAAGGGCTTAATTACGCTAGTGGCAACATTATCTCGAAAGCGCTCGTCATCATACTGTGCCGGGGGAAGAGGAGGTGGGATAGGTTTTGTGGGAAGGGGGGAAAGGTGGGACTCCCTGGAGGAATTTGAGGATTTCTTTCGTTTTCAGTTTATGTATATAGCGCTTTGAACTAAAATGCAGGGAAGGGCATGATGGTGCATGTCAGGCACACAGATAGATAGATAGATAGATAGATAGATAGATAGATAGATAGATAGATAGATAGA